TCTAATATTTTTATTGTAAAGCATAAACACAATTATACACATCACCGAATGGACAAGTTGCTTGAATTTAAGAATTTAACCATAAACAAATAACAACACCTACAACAAAGAAAAGCAACCACAGCAATACGCACAGAAAAAAGCCGAGTAGAATACCTCAAAATCGACTTTTATCTAGTTTTAAGTCACATACACTTTTTACACCTTGGGCATTTTTAACTATATATTTTAACCAGATGAAGGATTTTAGTCATTGGACGTCTGGATCTTAAGTTGTCAGAGAAAAAAGCCAGGCAAAGGTCAGGCAGCTCAGCTCCCAGTCACCGGAGACGTCCTGCCCTGTGTCCGCTGAAGTGTGTTTGCAAGTCACAGATTTTTTGAATCCCCTGGTCTGTGTGTTTAAGGATGTTTTAGATTATTTCCAGGGCGAGGGTATCAGTCATTGTTGTTATCCAGGCTTTAAAGGTATAATGTGTAAGATCGTGCTACTTGATCCACCTCCATAGGGGGCAGCATTTCACCTCTTCGTCCCTGTCCAGTTAATCATGTTGTTGGTTTCCCCATGTTCCTTATAATTTATTATTTATATGTGCATTTATCGTTGATAGTTAAAATTGTTGATAACACTGAAACAAATTATGAGTACTTGTAATACAAACAGTATGTTTTTATTTACCAATAAAAATAGGAAGGCAAGGGGACACTGCATGACACATGAAGCTGTTCCTCATATTAATGACTGAGCCTGAAATTTTTTTGGCTGAAATTTCTATTCAGATTTCATTCACGATCTGGGCTCACAAATAGATTCAGTGTCTGTCTGTGGGGACTATTCTTGGCTTTGGACCCTTGCTTGAGCTCTGCCTTTAAATTTTCAGCTTTTTATTGAAATGTAAGCAGTTCAAGTCCAGTGAGTAATGTTAAATAATACAATGTTGAGTGGACTGCTCAAGGTTTTGGGCAATTAAAAAACGAAAAACCAGGTCAATTTCATGGAAAACAGGCCTTTTACAGGCATAAAGAATTTGGTTAATTTACAGCTTTCCTGCAGCAATGTTAGGCAATGAAGCCTTAATCCAAACAATTTCTACAGGTGATGATTTACATACTCTCTGTTTGTACAAAGGCAATGTTGGGACAAATGGTGTTACTACAACCTCTGATGCATTATGTTGGTTGCCCATTATTATATGGTACCCTAATAAGATGTAACTAGCCCTACTTTGTGTCAATTTGACAAAAACTAAAATTAATATTTTCTGTATTAGAAGGTTAATAAAACAATGCATACCCTAATTAGACGCCATATATACATATATATACATGCCCAAATTATGGTGTAATTATTAGATACTGCATATAATTTCATAGAAGACCCAAAATATACTATACTTAGACATTATTATATTAAAAGCAAAGAGCTAACCTTCAAGTCCCCAAAGTTCTTGATGTTCCAGTATTATTCAGCAACTGTGTCACGGAAAAGAACGTAGTATAATGCCATCAAAGCCGCGCTGCATCGCCAGACCGTCTCCTTCAAACTGCTATTCCCAACCTGACTTATTATCAAGATAGGGATAGAGATATACAGCTACAATACGCCGGCTAAAGCCAAAGATAAACTCTCACGTCTGATGCCTATTCTCATCGGCCAACACGATATCTATGATCTGTAACTGAATCAGCGTATTATTACCCCAGTAAATTGGGGCGTGAACCTTTAATTCATTCATTAGCCGTTTACCATTTATCCTTTTAGGGTTGTGAGGAGGCTGGAGCCAATCCCAGCAGACACTGGGCGAAGGCAGGGTACACCCTGGATAGGTCACCAGTCTATCACAGGGCTGATGTAGATACTAGCAACCAGTCATGCTCTCATTCACACCTATGAGTCGCAGACGAGAGTACAGTACAGAGGGTCTAAACTTCTAATATCAAAGTTATCTTCAGGGCACCACCCTACTGAGGGAAGGACAGCCAATACTGATTCAGTCTCAAAATGTACTATCAATTTGGGTTTCTGAGGAATACTTAATTTGATAAATACAACCTTTGTCTGTGGAAATGGCTGATTTAAAATGGTGGCTGGGACCACAAGGCCTAAACAAGGGAGACTACAAGCAAGATGGCTGAGGATGGCCACTGGATGCCAATGTGGGGTAGAGAGAGATTGTGTTTCTTTGTTTGAGACTAATTCATGTAGGCTAAAGGTGCCAGGTTAAAAGGGGGTCAGCTACATACAAGACCTAGTGCTGGAAGGGCCTCAAGTATGTGTGTGCCCCCCATGTCATGCAACATGGAAATTATGCTGCCGTGGGCACCAACGACTTGAACTCCTTCCGCGGTTGCTGTTTTTACAAGTTTTTGGGTGCACCATCCAGCTACCTGTAGTGCACTGCATGTAGCCATACTTGTCAGTGTGACTGCACTCAACATAGCAAGTACTTGAAGTGAGACAACAGCGTAGGTGTATGGTTATTGGTGTATGACTGTTTTTGTTTACTGTCTGATCAAGATCATATTAATTATAGTTTTTGTCTAATTTGATACAAGTGCAACCACAATGCTTCATTTCCGTTGTAGGAAGAATGGCATGAGTGTGTTCGGCTGCTGAATCAGTCAAATATTCATTATTTATGTGTTTGATGCTTTGATTTTTTGCAAAACTAGGTTAAGACAAAATAAGCTAAGACTATTGTTGTAGGCAGCTGGGAATGTCCCAGGTTTTGCAAAATGTGATGGGGTGTTAGTTTCTCAAGCACACATATTGGAAGTGTGCAAATTAAATCCTCTAAATACTATATCCTTATGCTCCTTAGTAAAATACACCCAGTAGATGCTTGAATGACTAGGCTAGTAATAACCATGGTCAATAAGGATGGCATGGGTGTTACAGTTTATTCCAAAAAAGACACAGAATGTAATGTTGAAACACAATACTAGAGTCCTTTAGGAACCAAGCTGTAAATAGCTGATACCTTGTGCCAATATTCATAAAATTTTCCTCCATTTTTATTAAAGAAATGACGTTATTGATATTACGTGTTAATTATTTCTAAAAACTAAAACTAAAACAGCATAACTGATATCTATTATTCAATGAAAGGCCAGTATTGACTCAAGCTCAAACCTGTAAACACAGTTTCTTTGCTGGCGAGAAAGTCTAGACAATCTACCGCCAAACTAAGTTTGTATCAAGACACAGCCGCAGCTCTGTTTCTCCTCAGTCTTTTTTATCTCTGCTCTCACTTCCCTCCTCTCTCATTTTCATTTTCTTCCCACCACACAAGCCGACATCCCTCATTTATCAAACTGGCCCATTTCACTAATAAAAACCTGCACTGTGTCTCTCTGTGTCTTGGATTTAAACATGAATTGTAATGTGACAGAACAAATCTGGGTCAGTTCATGTTATACTTTCGCTGGAAAACTGCAAGCACATTTTTGGGAGGGTAATTATAAAAGGTTCATTAGTAGACTTTTGTTCAAATCCCAGTTGTGGCAAAATTTTGGCTTAATTGACTCCCAGCAAACTATATTCTGATTTTCTCATGTTTTTGTAATTATAAACTATATATTTGGGTGGTTGGCGTCTGACACGGTGTGAGAGACAGAGAGAGAAGTTGTCTCCAATAACATGCGACATGACAGCTGGACTTGCTCTGAATGACAGATTAACAAGGTGTGTGTGTGTGTGTGTGTGTGTATGTGTATGTGTGTGTGTGTGTGTGTGTGTGTGTGTGTGTGTGTGTTTGTGTGCTGTGTGCGTTTGTGTGCGTGCAGACGTGTGAAAGGGAGTGAGTCTGATTGTCAAGTGGGAGAAGCAGCCCCTTTTGTATTCTACAGTACTACAGCCTCTCTCATTGCACCAGGGATATCAGAGGAAAGCAAAAACAGAAGAGAGAAAAAGAGAAGACCAGGGAAGAAAAAGACAAAATGATAGTGGAAAAAAGAGTGAGAGGAAAAAAGAAGAGAGTCAGAGTCATGACTGAAGCATACTGCTGACAGGGTGTGGTCACTAAAAGACACAGGGAAATAAAGAAGAGGATGAAGACGAAGAGGTGGGAGGGGGGAAATAAGATAAATACAGACACAGAGAGATGGCGTGACACAGTGATGAATAGGTGGAGGGAGAGAGTGGACACCACATGAGAATTCATGAAAGTGATGAAAAATGAAGAGGGAAATAAAAGCATGAAAGAGTTAGAGGGGGAGATGCGTGAGAAGGAATGAGGTGTGGAGAAAGAGAGGAGGGGAGGCAAGGAAGAGTGAATGAGGGAGGGGAAGAGAGAGAGAGAAAGAGGGAGGGAGGGAGGGAGGTAAAGGATGAGCTCATTGCAGTCTCTGGGTTGATGACACGAGGAGGAGGGGTGGGGGGGATATCAATCAGGCTCGCGGGCTGACGGCGGGGGTGCCCAGAGAGAACAGGGTTTCACTATAACCCTAACGAATCTGCCGAATCGATAGCCAGCGTGCCACAATATACCACATAACCACACACACACACACACACACACACACACACGCTGCTGCAGCTCTACCGGCTAAACCAGCGTCTGCCCGCCACCGTTAGCTTCCAGCATCCCCGCCGCATGCGAAAAAAACAGCTGACAGTTAGCATTTTAGCCTTTAGATTTCTCCCTTTTTTTATCGCTGAGCTGTACTTCACAAAAAGAGACGAAGAAGAAGTGCAGAAAGCCGGCTGCTACTGGTGTCTGCTGCCTCTTCCTCACCCTACCTCACTCCCTCCCACCATCCTCTCTCTCTCTCTCTCTCTCTCTCTCTCTCTCTCTCTCTCTCTCTAGCTCACACACATCACCATCTCATCCACACCCACACCCAAGGATACCCTCCCTGCCTCTCCGCCTCTGTCTCTCTCACACCAGTCCTCTTCCCCCCTCTACCCCTCCAACTACATTTTTGGTATTTTCCTCCGGGGTGGAGATGCTCGCCTGACCCCCTTTCTTTCCAATCCAACACTTTTGTGGATGCTCTTGTGTTTCATTCAGCCCTGCTCTGCTACTTTGTTGCTACCTGTGGAGGTTCCCTGGTTCTCTGGTTCTCCTTCTGCCAGCCGTCGCACAGAGTGCAGCCCCACGGAGAGGCACCATGCTGGGATTGGACGTGTGTGAGTTTGGGGGTCAGGTGCTGGAGCTGCTGTGGCTAACTATGTGCTACAGAGGTGAGGCAATGGAGGAGTGTGTGTGTGTGTGTGTGTGTGTGTGTGTGTGTGTGTGTGTGTGTGTGTGTGTGTGTGTGATTGCATGTTTTAGTGAATTAGTATAAGTACAGTGATCCAAGTTTTTATTCCTTGCATGCAACGTCTATTTTATTGTGTTTTGTTTCAAGGCATTCATAATATAGATATAAAATTTTAATATTGTGTGTGAGCTTATAGGAGTGTATGTGCTTGAATCTTTGTGTGTGTGTGTGTGTGTGTGTGTGTGTGCGTGTCTATGTGCCCTTGTGCATGTGTGTGTCATATGTCTCAATCCTGGTGGGTGTGGACATTTTTATGTCTAACATGAAACGCTGCCAAGACAAGCCAAAGGTGGCAGATCAATAGGTATTGATCACATGCTACACTATCTGTGTGTGTGTGTGTGTGTGTGTGTGTGTGTGTGTGTCTATGTGCCCTTGTGCATGTGTGTTGCTAGCTAGTTTTTGTGATTATGTTTCTGCTCACATATAAACACAAACACAAACATGCAGAAGGGTGTGTGTTGGTGAGAAATGTTGGCAGTAGGGAGCAGGTGTGTGTGTGTGTGTGTGTGTGTGTGTGTGTGTGTGTGTGTGTGTGTGTGTGTGTGTGTGTGTGTGTGGATGACAAGGCGTATGCAGGAGTCAAATGATGTCACCAACGTCTGCTGTTACTTCTAACAGTATTTTTGCTATTGTATTTGCAGCAGCACTATACAGTCAGCTTTCTGTGTGTGTGTGTGTGTGTGTGTGTGTGTGTGTGTGTGTGTGTGTGTTCACTACACTGCAGTATTGCTGAACAGTTACAGATGGTGGAACAGTCCTGGGGTTTCCCCTCACACGGGTGTGTGTATAAGAGTGTGTGTTTTGTGAGATAAAGGGAAAAAAGGAAAAGAGGAAGGGAGAGCGACGCAAAAAAAAAAAATCAGAAGACGAGTGAAGTAATTTGACAAGAGACACAGAAACAGAGAGAGGGAGAAAAGAGGCAGTAAAACCACAGTGACAATTACAAGAGAATAAACAGAGGAAAATGAGAGATCCTCTCCAAGTGAAGGTCTTGAAAGTGGACGTGAAATATGATTTAAGATTTAAGAAAGCCACGAATAATCTATTCCATTAACTCTATGAATTTCAAACAGCCATTTGAATTGATCACCTGCTCCAGTCGGGATCCAAGGAGTCGTGAAACGTAGATCTTTGTGTCGCTGCTTTCAGTCAGTTTATGCTGAAGATTTACTACTTAGTGCTTCAGTCCCAGCTCCCTAAAGTTCAACTGTACTTCCCGTCTTAAACTGGGGACACTGTTCTGTTGGCGTGAAGCCACTGAACCCTCATTTTGTAGAATTTATTTGTTTTTCAGCACCATTAATCCACACAACCACGATTGATGTTTTTCTCACTGGAGAAATTTGTTTCTGAGACACATTAGAAACTCAAAGTCACTTTGAAGCATTTAGTCATTAGCTGATCACACCAATAATGTCACTGCAGAAACCAATATCATTGCTATACTTGCATTATTTCATTGTTTTCCAAAAACTGCTTAAAAATTTAATGGAACTGTGCAATTTCTGAGCAGTTTTTTGTGGATATGACACATCAAATCTTGTCAAAAACACTTGGCTAGGATTGAATTTTGAAAACGAGGAGGAGGCGATTTTGATAGGAGCGTGGGAGGTGACTGAGTGGAAGATAAATGGCAAGAGTAGCGAGCAAAATGACAAAGTGAGGGGGATGGAGGGGTAGAAACACAGAGGTAAAGAGGTCTGGAGAAAGTGGGAGGCTGAGGAGGAAAAGAAGAAAAGAAGAGCAGTGAGAGGAGGTGAACTGGAAGATATCAGGAGAGGAGGAGGTGGAGGAAGAGAGAGATAAGAGATGAGATAAATGGATAGAGAAGGAAGAAGAGAGTAGGTGGAAGATGGGAAATAGAAGAGGCAGCAGGAAAGGAGGAGAGAAAAAGAGGTAGAGGGGGTAAACAAAAGACAGGAAACAAAGGGAAATGTTGGTGGTTGAGATCGAGATGTTCTGTCAGCAGCTGTTACTGGGAAAGAAAGGAGAGCAGCCCAGGATATTTTACAAAGTGTGTGTGTGTGTGTGTGTGTGTGTGTGTGTGTGTGTGTGTGTGTGCAGTGTCAGAAGCACCTATGCTCTTGGTTTCATTCCATTAGTTCTCATTAATCAATGTATGAAAATCAATGTGCAAAATCTGTGTGTGTGTGTTTGTGTGTCTGTGTGTGTCTGTGTGTGTGTGTGTGGTAGAGAGAGAGTGGGTGAGTGGGTGAGGCCCATGTGGCAGAACACTCTTCACGAGCTGTCAATCAGCAAACACCAGCACAGGCAGCGAGCAGCACGCGCTGAAATAGGCTAATTGAAATCTTGCTCTTTTCTTTCCTCCTCTTTTCTACAATCTCTCTATCCTCATTACCAGCTGCGACAGCAGGCCTGGTATTGTTTTCAGCCTGTGTGTGTGTGTGCGTGTGTGTGTGCGTGTGTGTGTGTGTGTGTGTGTGTGTGTGTGTGTGTGTGTGTGTGGTCAGTGTTGTCCTGGAGACACCTACTGTAGTGGGAACTACCACAGTCTGTCTGTGGACAGATTATGTCACCGGGATCGTGTCACAGTTGTGTAAAATACAGTCAGAAACTATACAGGTGTGTAGCTGAGATCAAAATGAAAGATGGGTGTGGTCCGACCCAAGAGTGCTCATGCAATAATGTAGTAATATCTACTGAGTACTTTGGGTTTTGAATGTCAACATGTTGGTAGGCATTGTGGCTGGTGCGATCCCATCGCAAGATGGTCTGTGGTTTTCTCTACATTTTCTTGCACAGTCATCCCCATCTTTCTTTTTCTTTCTACTTTCTTTCTCATTTTTTGAGGCTGAATTGACGGCCGCTCCCTCCCTGCCTCCTTCTTACCCTCCTTGACTTTTTACCTTCCTGTGTCCCTTCTTCTCTTTGTCCCACTGTCAGATTGAATAACATAACCTCTCTACGTCACTTTGTGAGATGAGAGTGTTTTAGAAACCGTACTGTATCTGCTTCTCACATCATCTCATCCCTCCTCCTTTTTTTCTGTCACAGTAGTGATAAATGAGGTTGTCTGGGTGAGCAGACACATACGAGACCAATCAAGTCAGTCAATTAGACAACCTGCTCTCTCAACCAGGCTGACAGAGCAGCTGAGGATGTATTACTGTGTGTGTGTGTGTGTGTGTGTGTGTGTGTGTGTGTGTGTGTGTGTGTGTGTGTGTGTGTTCAGATGAATTTTATGAATTTATTAAGGGGGGTGTTCAAGCTAAAATGGGGTGTAAAGCGGCTGTTTAATAGGAAAGTGTGTATGGTAAACAATCTAAAACCAGGGCTGTGGTTACATGATGTTTTAACTGTTGCTGAACAGCAGTCGCTGTCTCCACAAGTTGTAATTACAAGATGACGCAATTTCCATTTAATTCTGGTGAGGTACAGTGTTTTACTTAGTAATGAAACCATTACAGTGCTTATTTTTGACCAGCTAAAACGTAGTATAATAATGATCTGTGTAAGGTTTGTAAACTTTAACTAGCATTAGCATTTTTCCACATTTTCTTGTTCTGGCACTTGAAATTTAGCTCAAGAGTCTCCTATATCTCTTGATCATCTTTGAGATGTTTCTGCTTCTTGATTAGAGTTCACCTGTGGTAAATTTAATTGATTGGACATGATTTGGAAAAAAAATAAGCACAGTCAGGCTCAAATACTGTTTAAGTCTCATACCAGTACTGGCCTTTTATTATGCCAGATATCAGCCACTCTGATGATGGTGCTTCCGTATATGACTGCAGTAAAAGAATGTAAAGATTTCAATCAACACCATTGAGTTAATTTTGGTTTAGCAGCATATATGACAGTATATGGATAATGCAGTTTTAAAACTGAGAAACATGTGGCAGTTGAGCAGCTGCATCGCTCCCTAATCACTACTGACAACTGTAACATTACAGTCAAAGCATATTGAAAGGTGTGTGTGTCGGGTCTGCAGAGTTCAGTATGCTAAATACTGTATAAACAGAGGCTGCAGTGTCAGTCATGAGCATGGTGATATCACCGTTCTCAGCAGCTGGTATCATTTGTTTATCATCTAAGCCTTTCATTAACAAGGAAACGTGGGGAGTGAGGTTTCCGCAACTGGCTGGTTAGCATGATGAAGTGTTATGAGCGTCTCCAGTGTTGTCTGCAGCGCTGCACAGAAATCGTGCAGGTCGCAGATCAATTCGGTCGTGTTGTGGCAGAAAAGGCCACGCGCGACAGCACCCTTGGAGATGAAAGCATACCCTGCTCGCATGGCCTATGTAATGCTGTTACGTTGATCATTTCGACTTTACTACCTTTTCCTTCATTGCAAAAGCTGTTATTGGCTTTTCAGAGGCCTGAAAGATTTCTTTTTATCTCCCACTGTGTATGTCTTTTTGTATATACTGTATGTGTGTGTTTCAGTGTCCCAGAGGTCTTGTTATAGGATTAGAACAGAGCAGTGACAGTGGGCCTCAGAGGACTATAAAAAAACAGCAAATCAAAGCTTATATCACACACGCTTGCAAACACACAGACAGTGAGAAAAAGGTGTTTTCCTGACACAGTGAACAGTTATCTGGGTTAAGGAAAGAGGAGGCAGGAAGTGATTATGAAAACAAAGGAAGATTGTTGAGGCCAAAGGAAAGCAGTTTCCCTTTGATTACTTAAAGTCCCAATGAAATTAAACATTTTATTTTTAAATTTGCAAGACAATGACCCCTTTATGACACGTTATTTTAAAACAATCTTCATCGTTCAGATGAACACAAAAATTGCGCGTTTAAACATTCCCTTAAAGGAATCCTTTGCATTTGGGAAATATGATTATTCTTTTTTTGGTGGAGGATAAAATGAGAAGATTGATACCACTCTAACATTTGTCTGTTCAATATCAGGCTACAATGAGCAACTGCTTTGCTTCTCTCAGCATAA